CTGTGAATCAGTAGCGTCACCTGCTGGACGGGTTGTGTCACTGCAGGCAAAGCAGAGGTGCATCATGCAGGAAGGTGGGGTGGGGGAATATGTTGCTTAGTTACCCAGCCCACAGAAGAACATAAGTGTGGGTGAGACTCTATCGAAACAGTTTTGAACATTTCAGTCAGTCCAAACCTATAGTGAATTTAGTCAAAGTGAGAGTAGAACATCCGAATATCTTGTGTATACTAGACTATTCTGCATCCAATAGAAATGTCATTCCATGATTTGACTATAATCTAAATCAAACATTCCACTTCATTTTGACCAGAATATTTTACTTTCATTGGTACATTTTCTAATCTCAATGCATGTTTACAATAAAGAAATGCGTGTTAACATCAGTGCTGTTTCTACATACAACAAAGAAAAAGTATCATCGTTACGACCTGTATGTACAGCTGAGTATTACCTTGACTATGCGTGCAATGTCAGAATATTTGGAAAACTATTACTGTATTCATGCCACCCATGCCTGAGGAGAGCTCAGAGCAACATTGGAAAAGAGAACTGCATTTTTCCATAATTGTCCTTAATGCAGCATCCATATGCATCTGATCTTAATAGATTGCTTTTATTGTTGTCTTAATTCTCTGTCTTAGATGGAGCAAGCATGAACAAGCTACACCTATGAAGTCTTCGTGCTGTGAAATTTAAAGGGACAGTTCAGACAAAAAAGGTAATTCTGTCATTGCTTTCTCACCCTCATGTCGTTATAAAGACTTTTTGATTAAGTCTGAGAGCTTTGTGTACTCTTCAGTGACAGCTTTGCAACTACGACTTTGATGCTTCAAAAAGTGCATAAAGAGATCGTAAAACTAAGCCTAAATGAATCGAGTGGTTTAGTCCTGAAGAGACATGACCACTTTATATAATGTACATTGAATTTAGGCTTTTATTCACATAAACATTGATTAGCGCACATAAACAGAAGCTCAACCGAACATGCTTGATGCGCCGAGAACATAGAGAATGAGACTCAGTGGTTCTTCATATCAAGTGAACATGCTTGAGCTTCCGTTTATCATAACTGATGTGTAAGTTGATGAATTTATATGAATAAAAGCCTTAATTCGATGTTCATCTTATAGAGCAATGTCTCTTCAGAAAATTTGGACAAAACCGGATTTGTTTTATGCATCAAAGTGGTAGTTGCGTAACTGCCAATGGAGGGAAAGAAATCTCTCAGATTTCATCAAACAGATCTTCATTTGTGTTCTGAAGATAAACAAAAGTCATACTGGTATGGAACGACATGAGGGTGAGTAATTGAAGAGTTCAGATGCAAAAGCCTCTAAGTGCCATTTGAAATTTTCTTCTAGAATGATCATTTTTATCAAGCTTGTATATTTAAGTTCAGTGATTTCACTTAAATGGCAATGATAATTACCTATTAATTGTTATTTAAGTGAAATTACTGAACTTAAATATACAAGTTTGATAAAAATCATCATTAAAGAAGAAAATTTCAAATGGCATTTAGAGGCTTTTGCATCTGAACTCTTCAATTATTGACAGAATTTCCATTTTTGGGTGAGCTATCCTTTTAATACATTTTGGAGGGGTGGATGAGGGTTGGGTGATGAGCACAAACTGGCACGAGTTTCCATTAACATTGGCATAGAGTTTTCCATTGGGCAGGTACAGATCTGGAGGCTAAAGTTTGCTATCATTCACCCATTTACTGAGACCTTTTAAACCCACATGGATTGCAGGGAAACCCAAATTATTCTAAATTACTCTTGAAAATCTGATCAAGCGGTGAAGATTATGTTTTATCTCATTGACATATTCATGTAAATTACAATTACGAACAAATATTTGAACGTAAATATAATACAATCCCTATACTGGTGAATCTCGGCATGTTTTGTGAGTTATGGATTTTGTAATCGATTTACTAGTTGAAAAGTCTATATTAGTCTACTAAATTGTTCTGAAAAGCCTAGCAGGTTCAACTTACCTCATACAGAGTTATCTCGTAGCGGGATTTTGTTTTCACAACTTATTTAATGAGCATTTCTGTTCTGGGCAATAAGAAAACGTTTGAGGGGGAAAAAAAGACTTGACATTTCGATTCACCGAGAAACATTCCGTAAAGCGTAACTAACCCTGATCTACCCTATATTAATATGTAATACAAAGAATTTGAAGAATATATTACTTACATTTATTAGTCTGAATACGAATAGTTACATAGGCCTACATCCTCCTTTCCTGACTGACTTTTTTGTGTTGGAAATCTCTTTTGACGTCTCAGTAGATTTGCGCGCGTAGTCTGTCCTCGCGCGCCCTCTACTGCCCTGTATGAAAACTGCTCGTTTAAGTCATCTTTCTTACCATAAAAACTTGGCACCGAACAACCGCCCGGCGTCTCCATCCCGCTGGAATCCCCAGGAATACAAAGTTCTTATCTCGCTCCACACGTTGCTTGTCTGTGACTATTAACAAACAGCATTGTGTTCGCGTGAGTGAGCGGGCGGGAGGCGGAGAGCGCGAGTATATAAACGCTCCTGTACTAGAGTGAGCTCGAGACTCTAGAATGATGCATTGAGAAGACCGCATCTTAAATCTGAAGATTTGTCACTGTTTGCGAATTTATTTGGACTATCACCGTTTGTGCTACATCAGGGACTTGCATAAGATTAAATAAAATGGATTTGAGGATTATTTTTCCAGTGTTGTCTATGCTGTCATCTGGGATTTTTGACTTTGGTATGTACTTGTTAAGTGTATTTGACTACTTTTTAAATAGTTTACTAAAGTTTTTTTTACTATTAAACAAGATGGAATGTGTAGAGAACAGGTATCTAGATATAATAAAGTATTAGTAGCCTACTACATGACGTTGCTTAAACGACATATGCAAAATAAAGTTTTGATATTCTTGTAGGCAGCATATGTTGAGCATCAATGCCATGTTAATTGAGCATGACAAATTCCAGATTTTCCAGTCCATCAAGCATATAGATTGTGCAACTTAAGAGTGTAAAACCGCAGATGGAAATCTTTATGAAGTAAAAGCTTATGAATTCAACACAATTTTATGATTTTAGCTGCTCCAGCATCTTTGGGTCATGGCACAGAACCAGGCACGTCAATCTCTGCACACCACTCCAGGACTAAGAGATGCTCCTGTGCAAGTTTTATGGATAAAGAGTGCGTCTACTTTTGCCACCTGGACATAATATGGGTCAACACACCAGAGTAAGTCATACTTTTCAAATCTAAATAAATATAGAAAATATGAATCTATGACTTTACAATCGTGACTCTATAAATCATTATTTAATGATTGATACCTCATGACTAAATTTGTTTTCTAATCATTTTTTGTTTCCCCCCAGGCGAACGGTGTCATACGGACTTGGAAACGCTCCACGGAAGAAGCGCTCAGTCACGGAACCTGTTGTGCCCAAGTCTCGCTGCAAATGTGCAGATACCAAAGACAAAACATGCTCTTCATTCTGTCAACCGAACAATGCGATATGGTAAGTACGCACTGAATGCAAATAAGGTGAATATGGTTCAAAACCAGAGATTTTTAATCTAAAGAGCAATTTCAAGGACACCAGACTCACTGGTTAAGAAATATTTTGGGAGACGCTTGTTTTCTCAAGCATAAGCTGTGTATAGCAACCTTAATGTATACAGGCATACAATCTGTCACTACATGACTTGACAAACTTGCAGAAACAGGTTTCATTTCTATTTGTGGACTTTTATCAAACTTGCTCAGGAATTAACTGCTGAACTTTCTTTCTTAGGTATAAAGACAAGGCCATCCATGCCTCCCAGGGCCACGATTGTGCCGAGAAGCAATGCAAACACAAGCTGGCAGTCAAACAGACAAAGATTAGACGGTAAGACAAACCTCATTTAAGAAATAATTGGGTGCTTTAATTACAGTCGCTGTAAGATTGATGTGGCTGCGATTTTCGAAACGAAGTAAATCGTTTTTCAAAGACTCCATTGAGTGGATTTTACTTTCAGTATGTTCAGATTATGTTTTTTTTATCAGAGATTATTTCAGGAAATCTTACATTTCAGTGACCTCATTGCTTTCTTTTTCTATAGGGTAAAAAACACAGAAGAGATTGGAGATGTCCTCTCCAGGGTGAGGGCCGTCAAGAACATCCATCTTCTCCTGGAGAAGTGGCGAGTGAGGCAGCGCCAGAGGCCACGAGCGAGGATGACTGAAAACGCTTCCTCGTAGAGCTCAACCTCAGCTTTTGAGCTTCGCTGATCCACCACAGGATTTTCCTGAATACGAAGCTCCTCTCTGCTCATTCATTGCACACGTCATGCATTTGTCAGGTGTGTTGGAATACCTACGGATGCAACCGTCTTGGATTGCGGTGTTTGTCATGGGGTCTCCGCCCTCGGGGAGAGTGTGGAGCTCAACGGGAAGAAGAATCAAACTTCTGATGGAGAAGTTGACTGAAACAAACCGAACCTCAAATTATCAAGGCTAACCTCTACCAACTTTTCTGAACTAGAACTTTTGATCCATGGGATATTAGTCGGTCCTCCAGATTAAACTGATCGCAAATCAAGACTTTGCATTGAAGATACTCGTTGCACAGGAGGAATATGCTAAATGAAACTGTGGACTCCAGAAACCCAAAGCGGTGTGTGTGTGTGTGTGTGTGATGCCCATCCAGCCACTAGACTCTGGTGGAAGAACGGCTCTGGTTCTTGTTACTGGACTTTATACACTGTAAAACAATGAAGCTCTGCAATTGTGTCAATGCATCAATGGAAATGTTATTTTTCACATTTATGTTAAATATCTTTAATTCAGCCATATTGGCTAATAAGATTTTCTTAATGTTATTATTTCTGTGAAATGATAATATTTAATTGCCATTTTTGTGGTTACCATTTTTAATTAATAATAAATATGTTGCATTATTTAAACGACTTCAGCTTTTTGTGAATTTTTCATTCCAGTGAAATGCATCATTTCATTTGCGCCAATGATAAGTTTATAAAATGTCATTGTGTGCTCCAACTAACGAAAATGTACTTAGTACCATGGTATAATATATATAACCATTTTAATTTCTCATGTTGGTATACAGTATATACTGTAAAAGTGCCATGTACCATGCTGTACCATGGTGCTGCCAAGTTTTTGAGAGCCGACTTTGAGCAATGAGCAAAAGTATTTTATAAGAGACAATAAAACAACTGTCCATCAAAGCACTCCTTTCCTGCTCATTTATAAACAAATATGACTGAGGTCAAACACATCATTCTAACATGTAATTTATTTAATTATAAATAAATATTTTTTTATTGACATGCAACAACCTAATCATTTAAAATAAGTGGGTATAACGAACTACGCAAAAAAAAAAAAAAAACATTTTGAACATCTGAATGAAACATTTTATAATCACCCAAAACCAAACATAGGTCCGTCATAAACTATTGGACTAGCTGTCGTTTGGAATATTAGCACTACAAACATTGTCACACCCATGGGAATCAATCTCTTCACTGAATACTTGCTGGCTAAGAAATTTATAATTATTACCTGAGATCCATCTGTTTTCAAATCCACAATTTAAATATCACAACAACATTGTTGTCTGTCAAAAAATTATGTAGGCTACATAATAGATAGTAGTATTTATGAGAAGCAGATTTCTAGAGAGTATTACGCAATCACCGGTAAACCCACACCGGATGTTTTGACCACGTCATCGGGAAGAGGTGAGCGGCTTCAACATGCTGTCTATCAGATACGGTAACGTGCAAAATAAATAACGCACGCAAGTATAAATTTGTTCTTCACTCGCTGAAATTGAAGCGGAATGATCGGGAAACTGCTTGAACTGATTAGCATACGTCACACTGCGTACTAAAGAGAATAAACGCCAATCAATCCAGTTGAAAAACTTCGCCGGGTTGGTGAACATCGTTCAGGTTCCGTCTATGCAGGTTCCTGACGGAAACAGGAAGTTGTATGTTATATTTTTACAGAGGGGTTTTTTTATGCACGAACTGCGCATACATTCCTGATTAGAATATTTTCAAAAAAAAAATTATATATTATATATATATTCTTGGTTGATATTTTTTCATAGTTTTGTCAAAAGATGAACTAAATGAGGGATCTTGAGACGAGTCCCTGTCGTCGTCCAATTTGACTCTCATATGCCAATGTAATACTTGACAGTATTCTACTACATTTTATTTAAAAAATCACCTGTTCGAAGTTGTTTAAACGATTAAGAAAATTATCAAAGTTTAATAAAATGTCGTTTAAACTTCCAATAAAAGATGATGCATTTTTACATGATTTGTTACTTTTAATTACCACATAGATTATATATAATATATTGGTATGCCCCTTCTCATACAACAACAAAAACAACTTATATAGAGTGTTATCTGCAGCACTGTATTAAATTAATTACATTTGGCTTTATTTACACCTACAAACATCCACAAAGTTTATTATTTTGTTGATAAGACTCTTCACATTTACACTGCATTCCTTTATTACAGAAGCCTCCGAAATGACATAAGAAAATATACCCTGCAGGGAATTTCCGATAGACGCTTTTGATTTGCCTGTCTTTGTCCATACGTGTAGATTAGATGAGAGCAAGAGAAAGAGATATTCTAGGATCCACACAAAGGCTGCATCTCCTCCTGAGCTGTGCACTTTTTCGCACGCGGGTCTCCAGGGGCCGGGGAAACTGGCGTAGGTCATTAGAGTTTGAATAGAGCTTGAGCACAAATAATAGCCCATTATGGCACAAGGAATCTCCTCGAACCGACAGGCATTCAGCGCATATGAAGCGAACAATGGAAGATACTCTGGGAGGGGCGGACACTCCTCGGGCTTCTGACGTCTCCGCGTGCTGCCGGGGTCACCGCCCTGAGCTACCTTCACACACACTCACAAACATGCAAACAATGCATCTACCTTAGACACACACACACACTGCACAAAACATTGACGCAAACATGGACCAAATTCCAGCGATGTCCCGGGACTGATTTGAAGTTGTTCCAGCTCAGTCTCATCACTCATCATCTCAGAGCTAGACGGTCATATGAGAGTTGAGTGAGGGGATCACTGCTTGTTGAATGAGTGCTGATCAGTGTTTTAAATGATCTAGGCTTGTCTTTTACACTCATAAAAGTTCTAATTGTGTTTTATATGGCTCATGGAGAGCAAATTGCACTCATACAGGTGAGCTGACTCACTAATCCTTCTCCGCCAGGTGTAGAGATGACGGCAGATGTGCTGTGTGATACACTGGGTCTGTTGCAAAACCAAAGTAGGCAGCATTGCCATGTGAGTAAAGATACCTACCTTATCATTTTTGGGTCAAATTTTAAGCCAGCATTACATGAATTAGACCTGCCCAGAATGCAGTGAGCACATTTATACATAGACTCTCAGAAAAAAGGGAACAAATGCTGTCACTGGGACTGTAGCTTGCTAATATGAACATTTTAGTTGCTAAGATGTCCATTTTAGGTGCTATTGTGTACATTTCAGGTGTTAATATGTACATTTTAGGTGCTAATATGTACATTTTAGGTGCTATTATGTCCATTTTATGCACTAATATGTCAATTTTCGGTGCTAATATGTATATTTTAGGTGCTAATATGTCCATTTTAGGTGCTAATATGTCAATTTTTGGTGCTAATATGTACATTTCAGGTGTTAATATCTACATTTTAGGTGCTAAGATGTACATTTTAAGTGCTAATATGTCCATTTTAGGTGCTAATATGTACATTTCAGATGTTAATATGTATATTTTAGGTTCTAAGATGTAAATTTTAGGTGCTAATATGTACATTTTAGGTGCTATTATATCAATTTTAGATAAAAATTTTAGATAATGTCATTTAAAAATTTTAACCCAACTGTACATTTTTTAATTACTTTTTTAACCTAACATTTGGGTTTGTCCATATTTTCCAAATTTGGGTTGAAACAACCCAGCATTTTTTACAGTGCATTAAGTTTTTTTTTTTAAGAAGTCTCTTCTGCTCACCAAGGCTGCATAAAGTAAAAATCGTATTTTGAAATATTATTACAATTTTAAAATGACTGTTTCCTACTCGAATCTGTGTTGAAGTTTCAATGTAATGCAAATACTTAATTATCAGCATCACTACTGCATTCTTCAGTGTCGCATGATCCTTCAGAAATCATTCTAATATGATGATTTGATGCTCAAGAAACATTTTACTGATACCAAACTTGAAGCTTGTAGGCTTTGAACCAGCTTTCATTTCGGGAATCAGCGCTTTATTCTTTTCCTTTTCTCGTCTTGTCATCCTAATCCAGGTTTCTCTGTGGGAGACACACATTTCAGACACACACACACACCTCTAAGCCTCCAGTCATCTCTGTCAGCGACAAAACAACATCAGAAAGCTATTATGGAAGATCCCCAAAACATTCTCAAAATTCTTTTTTGACAGACAGCAATTTGCACATGTCTAATGAGCTCAGATGAACATACTTGTGCTTGTCTATATGAAAATTTGACACAACAGACGGCAGGACATTTCATGCCATGAGGGCTTTTATAGTCTCGCTTTTTGACTGTTTTACTATCTAGATTTTTGGAAAAGTACTGATCACATGATGTGCTTGAGCAGTTTGCAGTCTTTGACACGAGCCAGTCCACATGCGGTTTTTGCAAATCTTAGATATGATCCACATACACAGAGTTATATTCTTTCAGAGAATAATCATCAAACAAAAATTTTTTTTTAATGCAAATTACTAAATAGTAAAAGTGCCCTCCCTTCTTGCATTTCTTCAGTAAAACTCATCACACATGACTTTTTAATTTGATTACTATAGCTTATTCACTTAACTAATAAGTATTACAGAGAATTAAAAAAAAGGATATAGTGCCAAGGAGACTTGATATAACATGCATGAAAACACAGTGATTTTAAGATCAGATCCATTTGTTGACATGCCATGCAAGGAAAGCATTACGTAGTTTTACCCAGAAGCAAAAGTGAAATTACACTGTCTATTTTAACTAAACAAAATGGTGTAAGTTTCATATTTCACTTGAAGATGGTGGAAAACAAAAATCATTCAGAAAGATTCCCGACAATGAATAAGGGTCTTATCAAGTGAAACGATCGCTCATTTAATAAATAAATAACAAAGTTTAAGTTTTATAAGCACAAGTGCTCGCCTTGTTCTGTTCTATTCTTGCTCGCGTTCGTGACTCTCCTGTTCGAACTCGTTCCTCAAAATGAACAAATCTTTTTATGAGTCAATTCATTCATTTGGTTCGTTGAATGAATCAAATGACACAAAAAAAGATTTGTTCATTTTGATGAGCAATCATTTCACTTGATAAGACCCTTATTCATCGTCTAGAATCATTTAAAGCCATTTGAACCGTTTGCAGTTTGCACTGAATCTGTCTTTTGGACCTTGAACCGTTTGGTTCCCAGTGAAGTCCATTATATGGAGAAAATCCTGGAATGTTTTCATCAAAAACCTTAATTTCTTTTCGACTGAAGAAAGACAATGCATTCTCATCCCAAGGCGTCGTCTAACTGACAATTTTGACCATGCTTCCGACACTTTAGGGCACCCTTTTGCGTCAGTTAGATGACGTGGGTAGGTTTAGGTCTGGGGTAGGGTTAGGGTTAGACCACTAAGAATGCGTCATCTAACTGACGCTAAAGGGTGCCTAAAGCATCAGTCAGATGACGCCTTGGGATGAGAATGGGCTGAGAAAGAAAGACATGGATATCTTGGATGAAATGGGGGTGAGTAAATTATCAGCAATGCTAATGTACATAATGGTAATGTGTACTGTATATACCTTAAGCTTTCAGTTCACAGAAATAATGGCACTGACCTGAAGACTTAATATTCTAAAAACACCTCAGACAAACAACGA